CGGGCGGCGGGCGGGGGAAGATGGCGGAGCTCGGTAAGAAGTACTGCGTGTACTGCCTAGCCGAGGTGAGCCCGCTGCGCTTCCGCTGCACCGAGTGCCAGGATATTGAGCTCTGCCCGGAGTGCTTTTCGGCCGGCGCTGAGATCGGCCACCACCGCCGATACCACGGCTACCAGCTGGTGGACGGCGGGCGCTTCACGCTGTGGGGGCCCGAGGCCGAGGGCGGCTGGACCAGCCGCGAGGAGCAGCTGCTACTGGATGCCATCGAGCAGTTCGGCTTCGGAAACTGGGTGAGCGCCGGCCCTGGGCGGACCCGGGCGGGAGGCGCCTGCGGGCTCAGTCCCTTCTTCGGCTAATGCAGCCCGATGCGCACCTGCCGGTTCAGCGCACACCACAGAGGGCCAGGGAAGCAGACACCGCTCACGCGGGGAAATCGGAGCGCAGAGGGGTTGAGCAACACGCCCAAGGTCACACAGCCAGGAAGTAGCAAAGCGGGGCTTTGCACTGTGGCTTTCTGGCATCAGAGCCATTTTCCTACCCTTGAGCAGTACTTGCATGGGTGCTTGCTGAGTGCGGACTTCGGGCAGGACCCAGCGCCTTACCCGAGTAGGCACAGTGGGCGTACAGGGGCAGGTCAGCCAACCTGACAGCAGTGGGAGCACCGAGGAAGGCGTTGTTTTGCCCGGAGAACGCCCTGCGGCTTCTGTCACCGTCTCTGAGGCACTTACTTTGTACTCATAGCCCACTTGCTATGTGCCCTTGTCCCCTGCCAGGGACCTGTTTATCCTTGGGTCCCCGCAGCACCAGGATGTCGTGTGAGGGGTGGTCAGTCAGTACCCAGCAAAGGCGCGTGGGCTAGGAGGCGTTTGTCCTGGGCTTTGTTCTCTCTCAGGAGGCTCCTGCAGCGACTTCGCTCTGACAGGGAAAGGTGAGCGCTGGACTGGATGCATTCCCACCAGCAGGCTAGTGTGCCAGGCTCCTCGAGAGAAAAATGGGGCTCGTTTCTCCGGGTGGTCTCTGAGCCGCTCTCTTTCTACCCTGGAAGAGGAAGCTTTCGGCCGTATTAGAAAGGAAAACCTCTGGCTGTCTTCTGGCCCAGAGCTGCCAAGTGTGTGGCCACCGCCAGGCATTGCGAGAAGTAGGGAGGAAAGGCATGACCCCAGCTCCCTGGTTTTCCCAGACCCTTCCATGTGGTGGCCACCCTGCTTCCTTGAACCAGAGTTTCATCTTGCCACTTCCCCGGCAGTACTCCGCTCCTGCTGGGCGTCCTGTAGGAAACATTCCACACTTCTCGCCTCATTCCCAAACCTGTCTTGCTTTTATTTCCTTCTGCTTTCCTTTCCGTAAAGTGAGCCAGTCTTCAGGGACCAAGACCCATTCTGCAGCGATTCTTGACTCTTCTCCCAGCTGCTTAGACGCTGCTCTACGAATTCTCACCTAAGCAGCAGCAGCAGCGTCGAGCTCACCACCCTCCAGAAATCTCCACCTCGCTTTGTCTGGATAGGCACTTTTTTGACGTGTATCAAGCACATTATACGCTAGTGCAACACGCTGAAGGAAAGAAAGGCTTTGTCCTTGTCTTCAAGGTGCTGCAAATGTTGTGGTCGTTGGGTCCTGAGCTGGGAGCTCTTCCCCAAGCTCCAGGCTTCAGTGTCAGACCACCACCCGACGTCCTCACCCGCTTATCTCATGCACATCTCAACCCTACCTTACTCCAGTCTCACGTCACCTCACTGGGTGACTCAGGCCGCACATGAAAAGCCATCCTCAGCCCCCTTCAGGTCCAGTTCAGCAGCAGCTCTGTCTTCAAACTATTTCCAGAACCGAGCCTCTTCTCACATCCTCAGTCCAGGCTGATCTTTATCTCTTGCCTCGGCCATTTCTGGAGTCTCCTATCTGTTCCCCCTGCTTCGACCTTGTGCCCAGCGGCCCATTCCACACACCACAATCAGAGTGATCTTGGAAGACATGTCACATCACATCAGCCTTCAGTGTTTTCCAGGCCTACTCAGATTAAACTTGGGCCTGCGGGGCCTTACAGTGTCTACTGACCTGTGGGGTCTCAGCTGCTCCCCCTTGATCATTTGTTATTTCTTCTGCATAGAGGGCTCTTCCCCAAATTACGGCCCGCGACTGCTCTTTTTCCTTACATGTCAGTGCCTCAGAGAGGTGTCCCTTTCCCCACGTCATCTTTGTAGCACTTAGCGCTACCGTAGCAGCTCATATAGCTGACATGGCAGGAGCCGTGCTGAGTGCCAGGTGCTGTGCCTGTCTCCTGAAATCTTCCCAGCAGCCTGTGCAGCGGGTTTGAACTGAATAGTTGGGACTTCAGGGTCTGAGCTCCTGGCTGCACTGTCTACATTGCCTTCCCTGCAGCATGGTGGAAAATACATGAAAAGCAAGCCCAGGGACTAAAACATTTATAGTGTTTTGGAGGAACCATGGGGCTGGAAGGGGGGCATTCGCTAAAGCAGTACTTTTCAAACTTTAATGTGCATACGAGTCACCTGGGGAGCCTATTAAAATGCAGGTTCCCACTCAGGGCCGTAGCAGTTGTTAGAAGAGACATAACCGGAGGAGGAGGTACGTGGGCCTGGGGGCCAGGCACGTTCTCCCTGGTGGGTTCATGGGGAGTCCAGAGATGTCTGTGCTGACCTTGCCTGGAGTGCTGCCAGCCTGTGGTCCACAGGCCATGCTCTGAGCAGCAGGGCTCTAGCTGTGCTCTCCTGGGCTCACTGATTCACTCTCGAGACTTCATGTGCATCATCAGAGGCTCTTCTGCAGCTCCGAGAGGTGTGGCTCCCTTCTGAGCAGATTTGTAGATATGTGCCATACCATAAGCGGTATGTCCCGCATGCACCATTTTTAGCACGTGCCCATTCTGGGCCAGGCTCTTCCATACACATCTCATGTGCTCTTCACAGCAGCCTGTGGCATGGCTTCTTGGTGTACAGTTGAAGAACAGTGACTCTGATAATTTTAAATACTTGTCCTGAATGCCTTGGGCTTTCACGTGGTAAAGCCAGGTTTTACGCAGGCCTGAGTCCAAAGCCTGGGCCCTTGGTGTAAGACCTCTTGGTGTAAGAGCATTAACTCTTGTGGGTCAGACACTGGGAGCTTATTGGTGCATCTAAAGTGTGGCCAGACTGGAAGGGGCTTCAGACTTGGCTCAGCGGGAGGTTCGTGTGGGGATGGGGAATTGGGAAGGTAACCTGGTGGGCACAGGAACCAGGTTACATGGGCTGGATGTGGAGTATGGAGAAAAGCAACGTGCAAATCGGGGACACTGCTATAGAAGAAGGAAGGTGAGACTGTTCGTTCTAATTTCTCAGATGGCACGTGACCTGGGACCCCTGGGTTGTACTGCTTTGCGTGGAGTTCATGGGGATGGGGCGATTTCAGGAGAGCCCAGGGAGAGGGGTGTTGCTGAAGTCTGGCGCTATTTGCTCACATTTTGTCCCAGGAACCAGCGTGGCTGTGGCTGAGGGATACCAGCAGTGAGGCCGGGGAGGGTTTGGGGAGCAGCGCGTGCAGCCAGGCTTTGACGCTCTGTGCCCATGCGATTAATGCAGAGAGGACGGGCAGAGGAGGTACCTGTGAATACGGGACCAGGGAACGGTTGTCAGGCGGACTGTGAGCCACAGAGTCACAGCGCCAGGGCTTTTGAGAGCCTCAGCGCAGCTGTTTGGTGGTGGATGCGGGGTGGATTCTGAGTTAGAAGATACAGATCTTGCTGGAACACAAACAGCCGTAAACACCATGGTGCCATGTTTTATGACACTTGGAGACTGTGGTAGATGAGCTGGAGTCGGTTGATTGGCTGCCAGAGAAACTGAAGGGTTTGAGGAAGGCCAGACGACCTCTGCGGGTGCTGGTCAGGGGGACGTTGGGGGAGGTGGGGTTCAAGCTAGCTTTGAAGTTAGATTTCGAATTAAAAAGTATGTGACAGTCTCTGCGGACTGTGCAGCCCATGGTAGCAGGTACACGGCACTCGCCTGAGCAGGGGAAGGAGGACGTGCACACAGCAGTGGGGGGTTTGGGGAGAAGCCTTATGGGGGCTGAGTAGGGCGTCCATGTAGGGGCGGCCTGGTATGAGGTTTCATAGCCCAAGACGTGTGACGAGGGCTTCCCAGCACAGGATGGCAGTGCTCGAGTGGAGAGAGAACCGTGTCAGCGGGTAGGAGGCTGGCCGGTGCAGGGTGCCCTGGGCTGAATGGCTGTGGGGCACATCTGTGTGTCCGTGGGACGCAGACCACAGCAGGTGTCAGAGCACAAGCAAGTGAAGAAAATCCAAGACCAAGGAACAGCACAGAACTAACACAACCCGTGATGCTGACCCGGGTCCTTTGCCAGTGAAGGAGATTGTTGGGGCAAAACTTCATTGGTTTAGGTGGCAATAATGCATCTTTATTAATTTCCTAATGTTGATGGTGATATTGTGGTTAAGTAGGAGAATGTCCTTATTTGTAAGAAAATCATACAAAATCACTTGGGGGTGAGGTTGTAGCTTAATTACAGAATGGTGAAAAAATGATAAAATAAAAAGAAGTCTGAGAGTTTCTCTGTAGCCTGGGCAGGGCCCTGAGCCTGTGTGTGTACATTCAGGCTGATCATTGGCGGCAGGTGCGATGTCATGAATGCAGCCTTTCACTTTTGTAGACGATAGTAGACCATCGGAAGGCTGGTGACTCGCTGCTCTGTTTGTTTGTTCACTCCTTCTAGCACTTACTCGGCCCATTTGGTCAGCTCCTGCATCAGAAGCAGACTGTCCCCAAGCATGTGCTTTGGGGTGAAAACATGGATAGAAGGAGACCACTGTGCAGCCTTGTACGGGGGCTGTGTGGTTCCGTGCACTCAGGATCTCCTTTGGTGGAAAGGAGAGGAGAAGGCTTTCCGGGTGGAAGGATAGTGTGGACGAGGGGGCTTTCCACGTTCTAGGAGCCCAGTAAGAGCCAGCTGGCCTGAAATGGGAGATTTGGGTTGGGGACAGGTAGGTAAGGTTGTGTGGGGTCGCATTTTGAAAAGCATTGAGCGCCAGGCCGCCAGGGCGTAACGCGCTTTTGAAGCTGATTCATACTGAGCCCTGTGGAGTGTGCTGAGTGCCAGGCTCTAAGCTGGGCCCTTTGACAGGCACCCCTCCCCCACCACGTCCCTTAGTCCCTCATTTACAAATGAGGAAGTAGCTGTGGGCCATGAAGGCATCTGAGCCAGGTCTTCTGACCTTCTGCCTAGAACCTTCTATTTCATCGGTTCACCAACTGCCCAGCAGAGTCACCTGAGGATCCCCAGA